AGTAGGATGCTTGTGATCTGTGTCTGTAGAATATGGTCTGAAATAACTTTCAGGATTAGACATGTTCCAGTAGGCTTGTCTTCTAGTGGCTGGCTTATGGGGTGTTCAAAAACAAGGATAAAGTTCTAACAACCCACTTCCAAGCACACAAGCAGAGAAGTGGGAATTTTAATGTCTAATACATGCATATAAGTGGTTAATTTATGACAAAAGCAAAATATTATCTTATTCATTTATTTAAAACCTAGTCTTTCTCTTTTCTGAAGCAACTGGAAAAATAAATAATTTAATATTTTATGAATATTTGTAGGTTTGACTACTTATTAATTCTCAGGACAACTATTTTATTATGAATATCTGTATATATTATTATAACAAAGTGTTAGTGCTGTTTCTTTTAAAGTATTATAAAATTTAAATAGAAGAATAGATTAATTGAAAATGCAAGTATTTTTAAATCATAAAAGATGATTATATCAACTATAATACAATATCATGCTGATTCCAAATAACTCACTAATGTGTGATTTCCCCTACATTGTTTTTTATTTTTTCTTGTTTTTGGTTACATCTTTGAGAACACATAGCTCCAAAACATTTTTAAATTGCTTACCAAATCATAGACCAAAAATATATTTTTAGAATGTAATTTTAGAATTTCATTAAGCATTAAACTCATTCATCATAAAACATCATGCATAGCTTGTTTTAGAAACAATACTGAACAGCTCATATCCTTTGCTTAAAAATAGACTTTTTCTTAAAGCAATTATCTTCTTTTCAGTCCAATTTTTTCTTTTCTGGTATTCAATGGGATTTCAGTTCCAATGAGTTTTTATTTTACTATGCTAATCATAGAATTATCCCATCTTTTTTTCCTATCTACCTCCAAAGTTGTTGGATTTTAAATGCATTTTTTGGTCAGAAGTTTATCTATTCAGGAATAGTGAAGTTCGTATGCCTTAACCTTCAATGATTGATAAGAACAGGCTACTGTGACTATTGTATGTAAGAGGCAGTTCAGTAGTTAAGAACACACATTTTTGGAGCCAGATTTACTAGTTCAAATTCTGGTCCTGCTATTTACCAACCAGCATGTGACCTTGGCCAACTTTTTTTTTACTTTTTGTATTTCTTTTTTTGAATTTTTAAATCTTTTTGGCCAACTTATTAACATCTCTGTGCTTCAGTTTCCTTGTCTGCAAAGTGTGGGAGATAATAATACCCATCTCATGAAGTTATTGTGCGAATTAAGTGGGTTAATATATGTTAAGCCCTTAGAACTCTGTCTAGCTAATAGTAAATGTGGCATAGATATTTTTATTATCATCCTGAGATCTATTACTTTCCTTTGAAATTGTAACAAATTCACTTTTGGAGACCATGGTGGGCAGATCACTTGAGGTCGGCAGTTCCAGACAAGCCTGACCAACATGGTGAAACCCTGCCTCTACTGAAAAAAAAAAAAAAAAAAAAAAAATTAGCCAGGAGAGGTGGTAGCGCATGCCTGTGGCCCCAGCTACTTGGGAGGCTGAGGCAGGAGAATCACCTGGACCAGGGAGACGGAGGTTGCAGTGAACCAAAATTGCACCACTGCACTCCAACCTGGGTGACAGAGTGAGTGAAACTCTGTCTTAAACAACAACAACAACAACAATTTAATAAATTCAAAATAATTAATTCACAGTCAAATAATTTCTTTCTACAACCTTTTTATATGTATCTAATGATGACCCAACTCTGTCCAGAGAGTCTGGAAGCAATTTCTGTATGCTCTATAGTTTTATCTTTTCTTTAATTTTTTATATGTTTATTCACTCATTCAGTCTTTCTTATTTATTGAACACTTACTATGGTGCTTAGGTAGCCAGAGAAAAACAAACTGAAAAATTCTCTGGTACCAGTAAGCTTATATTCATCATCTCAGAGTCAGGCAATATGTGTTAACAGAGCATGTCTGATTGGAAACTTGCCTTATGCCACCTACCTATTACCCCCAAACATTATTAATGTAAACATTGTTTTGGAGCAAATGTCTATTTTTCTCTTCATTGGTATATTAAAGAACTTAACTATCTTATTAAATAACTTAATCACTTATTTTTGCATTTAAAAATCACTATGCTTATTTAAATGAACAAGCTGGGAAATTTTGGTTTTAGAGATGGGTGTAGAGATAATGGGTCAATGTTCTTACTTATTTGCCTTCCCTCCCACTCCCTGATAGCATTAATCTATCTTCTTATTAGAATGTTTCATCTTGACTCATCCTTGAAATTGAGATATTCAGCTTTACTTGTAAATTTATCAGAGGTTCTCAGTATGTTCACACTTGGGGCTGTGGGAAAGGATGCAGCTAAATGGTAATATATTAACAATATGTGTTGAAACAGCAGTTCCTGTTGACTGTATACAAAACACAAATTTCTAATAGTTCTTACAGCACCACTTCCTCTGCAGATTATGTCGGAAATGCTTTAGTCTGAATAATCATTCCCGGGGGAAAAGCCTTCAAAATAAATTTACTTTATTGCCTGTGTATGTGTATGAGTGTGTGTGTTAGAGAAAGAGAGAGAGTCTGATTATTGTAGAATACTGAGTCAGTCATGTACATATGCTTAGTATAATTAAGGAACATAATTTGATGGTAGCAACAATATCTAATTCTATGAATCAGTCTGTATGCTGTGGCTTGTCACCACATTGTTTAAAAATAAACTAATAACAACAATAGACAGCTAATCCAAATGTTAAAAAAAACAATGTTGGGGGAATAGGTTTTCAGAAATCAAAACAAAACAAAACTGAAAACTTTAGTTATGTGGATAGTTGTAGAAGAAATAAATCTATCATCCTTTTTTGGCCATAAAGGCAAAGCAGGCTTTCCCCCTCAGTTATCTCAACATTTGGCTACCACTCTTTGCTTCATTTTAGTTTGGAGTTATCTGTAAATTGAACTCTTAGTAGGGGTGAAGTGATGCATTCCCAGAGATGTTTTTAGTGGGGTTTAACCTGGGACTGTTGCATTTGGTGTGTGTGAGGGAAGTGTATGTATTTTTCAAACAGTAATTTATCCATATCCCACCCCAACCTTCCACTTTTTTTTTTTTTTTTTGAGACAGGGTCATGTTGCCCTGGCTGGAGTGCAGTCGCACAATCATGGCTTACAGCACCATTGACCTCCTGGCCCCAAGCCATCATCCCACTTCAGCTCCCCAAGTAGCTGGGACTACAGGCATGTGCTACCATGCTCAGCTAATTTTTTTGTAGAGACCAGGTTTTTCTGTGTTGTCCAAGCTGGCCTTGAACTTCTCTCCTCTGGTGATCCTTCTACTTTAGCTTCCCAAAGTGCTGGTATTAGCCACTGTGCCTGGACCCTTTGTAATTTTTAAAAGTTCTGATGATTCTGAATTATCTCATACTTTACTTACATACTTTCTACCTTTGTTAGAATGCACTTTTGGGGACTGTGAATAGATTAAGTTTCTAAAAGATCCATTAGTGCTCAAAAAAAGTCAGTTAATTTCACATGAGAGCACTTTCATCTTAATAGAAGTCTTTTTTTTTTTTTTAAGTCAAGGTTGGCTCAGACTCAGAAAGACTGAATCTGAACAAATGCAATTTTACATGTGTATGGGAGTAAGTACATTAAGGGGGCAGGGTGCATGCTATCAGTGTGCTAGTTGGCGTAAGAAGAACTGAGATATTTTTGAATAGCTTGAGCAAGTGAGGATCATTTCTTTAAAAAGAAGGGCATACAGGGCATACACACACTCCTATGTGGAGTGGCAAACTTTCTCAGAGAGACAGGGTTATGCAGCACATAAGCTACTTGCTGCAAGTATGCAACACTTAAAATATTACATCCTTGCTTCATCTTCAGTTTGCATGTCAAAAAGAGGGTATCTTTAATCTGGTAAATTGATCTCAGGAAGAGGGTCAATCTTTTTAATGGTATTGGTGAGATTTTTGTCATGGCCATATTCTAGTTTGTTAACCAACAATGTTTTTTTTTTTTTTTTGTTTTTTTTTTCTTTCTTTCTCTCTCTCTCTGTCTCTCTCACTCTGTGTGTGTGTGTGTCTGTGTGTGGTGTGTGTGTTTCCCTTCCTACTTTACTTGTGACCAAAAGGACCTCTCTCAGTTCCCCTTACTGTTAATTTCACATATGTTATTAGTGAAACAGTCCCAAAAGCTAGCCAAATAATTTTTTAAAAGTTTTGATCTTGGCAGATCCATACCATTTTAATATATAGCATGAAGCACATAAAGTATCTTGAGAGATTCTTCATGTTGTGGAGTCTTGAGGGTTAATGATGAGGCAAGCTTGTCAACAACCAGAGGTATCTCATGTCCTGGTTTTCCTGGAGTGTTTACTGTATGTTGCTTTGAATGAATGACCTGAGTGAGAATGCTAAGATTTTCCTTCTTAATGTTACTCCTTTCAAAATCATAATGTTATAGACATCCTTTATGGTATTTTTATTTTAATAACATTCAGGTACATAGCTGAACAAAAGTCTGATATGCCTAGGTAAGTGATCTAGCTATAAATGAAACACACAAATGTCAAAAGCTGTTTGGAAGTGATCTCATACTCATTTTCACAACCAACAGTTGTGATACACTTTTTTAAAACCTCCCATTATGTAGAAGAAATGATACACTTTTAAAAAGCATTTTTTATTTCAGAACATTTATCTGAGAGAGCCTAATTGAGAAGAATATTGCATTAGTAAATTGCTCTGCCCAGGAAAACTGCTGCTCTGTTTCTCTTCACATTTTAAAACCTAAGTCCCAAATCTCAGTCTGTAGTTAAGAGCTTCAAACAATAATTACCTCTGTGAAATGAGCAGAAGTCCTTAAAAGGGTCTGCCGGTTCTCCCGCAATCTTTTACAGGGTGAGCAGCGCTGTATCCACTGATAACCCAGCTGCCTAGGAACTGAGTAAAGCCGGCTCCAAACTTCTCAGCTGTTGACAGGCTTGACTTGCTGAGAACACTGGTTAAATATAGCACCCGCGAGCTCAGCTCCTCAACATAGTCATTGCTCTGACAGTGTTGTGAAGGGAGCAGAAGAGGAGAAACCTAATCTCAGAACCCAACAACACCTAGCAACAGTTGAAAAAAACTTTTAAACAAAAGTCTGGGTGGGAGATATACAACTTCCAATTTCTGCTGATCCGGATTTCAGGGAGAAGAAGCTGCTTTCCCCCCTCTCTGCTCTGTTTCCTGCATGACTTCAGCTATTGGCTAGTCCTAGGAAAGAAAGTGGGAAAAGCTTTTTCCTCTGTATTCTTTTGGGCTGGATAGTTTTTCAGAACTCGAGTCTTTCTTGGGCTGTGAGACAAGCCACTGGGTTCTTCAAAGGATAAACTACCTCCATAGAGGACATACCTTTGGTTAAAGGAGCTGCTGTCAGGTAAGACCAAAATAACTAAGTACTTATACTCTTATGAAATTTCTGTTTGCACAAGAAGAGAGTTCTCTCTGATGCTGTTTTGTCTGTTTCCTTTGATTCTTCCTGTTCTACGATGTTATAACACATTTAGAAATTATTATAACTATTATGAATTGTTTTTAAGATGTCAGGAACATAATCTCTTCCTCAAAATTATACCAATTCCTTTTAAACACAGATAATTTTATGGTGTTTTAGTGGCCATCAAAATATTTCTGCCAAGTTAATGCTCTTCGACAGGTAACAGAAATACGACAAAGGACAATTTCCCATCTCCTTTCACAATTGGGATGGCTTAGCATTGAAAAGGATATCTTCCCTGGAAGTAAAATAACTTTCATTTACCGAAACTAGCTAAGCAGCTTGTGTGGTAAATGAGAGGAAAGTCCCGTATGGTGTTTGTGTTGCTGTACTTTTTAAACCTGCTGCTGTATCTCCTTTTGCCTAATTCTCTGATTACACTGGTACACCTTGTGCTGGTTCTGACCTTGTTACACTAGAGTCACCCCAAATGCTTCTGACTGGGCATAAAATATGCCTGGTATTAAATCACTACTTTTGCAGTTGTTGACTGTAACTACTCAAGAGAATGATATTTGTGTATTTAAAAAAATTAAGTAATGCTTGTATTTAGATATAACAGATTCTGTTTTTTAAAACTTAAACTTAATTAATTAGAAAACATTTTTCTTAAGTTGAGTATATGTTTATATGAATGTGGTTACTATAGTGTGAAGGAAGTCCTCCTTTCATCTGATGGCACCTTGTCTCCCCTTCCATGAGTTGCCATGCAATTTAATCAGAATTGCTTAGAGTGACCAATTTCATGTTGAATATGACAAGTTATGGCTGTACATTGGTGATATAGTTAGTATTGACATCTGGTGGTTTGTATTTGGGCTAGATGTGCATAAAAATATTTTTCCTCTAAATGAACATGATGATTTGAATAAAATTTCTAATCTAAGGATAATATCAAAGAAGATATAGCAGCAAATTTTAAGAAGAATTTTTAAGTCTCTTCTCAATGTAAAGAAAGAATTTATCCAATACGAGTTTTGAACATATTATTTGTTGACAAATGAGAATATATCAGCCTTTTCAGAAAATGATCCTCTTTTAAGAAAAGCTAATTAAAGCTTATATAGCATATGCTCAGGAAAATGAAATAGGGTACCGATTTCAGTACATATTATGTTTTATAATTCTGATTACTTGATTACACAATAAATAAGCTAATCACATGTAATGAATATGCACAAATAATAGTGCAAATGCATGCTGATAACTTTACTGTTAGAGAATGAAACTCCTGGTGCTTTAGTGGAGATGAAATAGCTTTGTCTGAAGGAGTCTTGAAAAGTTAGAACTAAATGCTTTACATTTTTCTTGTTTTTATCCTAGGAAGGGTCACATTGTTGGCTTAAAAATGTATGTGTAAGGCCAAAATCTACCATTAGTTTTAGGCATGTACTTTCTTTTGGAGTCAGTGGGACAGTGTGGCGTTAAGTAAGTGCAGCAGTTGGCGCTGTGTGAAAGTCATGTTTGCTGATGAAGTGAATTTTTCTTATCATTGTCTTCATTGTTGTAAATTTATTCTTGAAAATCAAGAACAACTCAGCTCAGACTAAACCACACAGTTTCCTCCACTATATGAAGAATCAGACACTCCATGACAATGCAGATCTGTTCTCCTATCCATTCAAGTTCATAGTTCTGTGACATTTTGGAACCATCCCTTTCCCCTTTAACGTAAAAGTTTTCAGATTCCATTGCCATGTCTTCCACCACACGAATGCCTGCTTTCTTCACCCTGGTTTGGATTGTGAAAATGCTGCTCCCTCCTACTCCTTGTTGCCATGCAAATCATCTTGCCCATGACCATGAGATTGGTTTTACTAAAGCATTGCTATGTTTGCCTATCTACTCTTCAGTTATCTGCTGGGACTTCTAGTTGCTGCCAAACACCTAGGCTGGGGTATTTTGAAAACCTTCCATCATCTGGCACCTACTTAACTTTTCCAGTCTCCCTACCATGACTCAACAACAAGGTCCCTCTGCTTCAGGTATTTCAGATTATGGCCCATTCTCCAAACACACATACAGTGAACATTTCAGTGCCCCAGCTTTGCTCATGTTATTCTCCCTGCATGGAAGACATTTACTCTCTGGTCCTGTATAAACTTTGTGTAGTCTTTAAGACCCAGAAGAGGGTCTTCTACTTTCTGGACCATACATTTTAAAAGTGATTCTTTGTAAGTTTAGACTGTTTGATTTTTTGGACCATACATTTTAAAAGTAATTCTTTCTAAGTTTGGACAGTTTGGTGCTCTGTTATAATTAGGGTACTTTTAAGTAGGGTTTGTCTTTTTATATTCACAACAATTTTATGACGTCTATTAGGTGCAAGATAGTATCCTAAGCATCACTTGGCTTTGGAGCTTCTCAGCCCCAGGCACATTGTGGGTGTTCCATTCACATTTTTGGCTCTAAATATCTGATGATAAGTACATGAGAAAGTATGGATAAGTATAAAATCGAGAAAAGCAACTCAAGTTAATAGCTTTTTACTTCAGAAATTTCTGAAGGAAAGTCTTATGACTTTACCATGTGCAGAAATATTATGAATACTTTTAATTACACTCATGTACCTGATTGTGGAAATTGTGATAAAGCCATTTTATTCTCTCAGGAATAAAATAGAAAGTGGAGATAGGACTGGACTATGCATGTATATATGCACACACACACACACACACATCCTGTGTATCTACCTAGACCTCTGAATACTGTGACTTATATACTTTTGTCATCTTCTGGTGCCAGGTTCTAGTTAAAGTTACTTTTGGTGCAATTCATTTAAATCATGGCTCCTTCTCTTTGTGGGTCGTGAATTAGAATCTGATTTTGAACAAGAAAACATTTAAATACATTATGATCCTTTTTCTCTTCTTTTTCTCTTGGTATTTCTAAAAAGAGACATTTTTCAGTATTATCTTTAATTGCTCGTGAAAATTGTAGCCTTACTGGGTGAGATAAAGCAAGAATCATACTTTTAAAGCAATTTGTTCTGTATCCAGCAAAAGAAAAACATTCTCTTTATATTTTAAGATGGTCAAAGTGGTGAAATTTGCTCTTTTAAATGGATACCCAGTAAGAAACTCTTTGGAATTTTCCAATGAAATTTCTGAAATATTTAATATATTCATTAAGTACTGGTTTCCTTGTGGTTATAATTTTTGCTTATTATTTAGAAGTGAAACTTTGGGGGTTACCCAGTCTAACTAATGCTACCTGTGTTCTCCTCTTTGCCGGATGAGCATTTCTTCATAAAGCAGGTGCTTTAAGATACACGATTTTACAGTTTGTTTAATCCATATTCTCATTCTTTTGTCTAATCTTTCTTTTTTAAACTTGTAGGTTTTAGAAAGGTAGCACTAGGAGAAGTGAGGGGGCAAGCTCTTGTTGAAATTTATTTCAACAGGAGATTTAAAAGAAAAAAGATTGGTAACAATTTATTAGAAAAATGACATCTAAAAGCCTGCAGTATAAATTTGTTTTTACATTATTTTTAATATATATAGCAATAGAAAAAAGATAAGTTAATAAAATACATTTTGATTCCTTAAGTTTGAGTTCAAGATATAACCAGAGTATGTTCATAGAAGAGGAGTCAGAAAAGGTTAGTAGCATGAGTGAGTAAGCCAGATAGCCTGGGTTCAGATTTCAGCTCAAGATGACCTTAGGCAAATTGATCTCTGTGCCTCAGTTTCTTCATATGTAAAATGAGGGTAATAATGCTATTTCCTTATAAAGTTGTTTTGAACATTAAATGACTTATAATATCTATAGTTTATAATTTATTCCTCAATAAATTTAAGGCAGTATGGCTTTCTTACACCTTAAATGTAGTTATTTGCTTACTTTAATCTTTGTTGCATACAAAATTCTTGGATGCAGATAGTTTGTGATCTCAACTTCATAGATCATAGGAAAGACAGGAGAATGCAGTATTTAAGTTTGGAATCTTGCTTGGGACATACTTTGCTGCTGGGTACTCTAAGCAGACACAATTTGAATGGCAGCCAATAATTTAGTATGGAATTTATGTTTCAAAGTCTCCCTTATCACTCAGCAGTCTGCTGTCTTATAGAACCATTACTAAAAAGGCTAAGAAATCACCCACAGCACAGACTGTTCTATGGTTTCTATATTTGCACTTGGAGATAAAGTATGTTTATACATAGTGCTTGGGTGTCTTTTTTATAGCTGACTACACTGGGTAATGTACAGTAATGAAGACTTCCTCCTCCATGCAAGGACACATTATTATTAAATTTATCATTTTTTATTTCTTAGATGATTTGTTTTGTTTTACTAACCTAGTAACAGATAAAAATAAAAAGACCAAAAAAGGTCATCTTAAGCTAACTTTAACTTTACCAAACGGAAATGAATTCTTGCTATTCATTGCTCTTAATCCTATTCATTTGTCTTAAATATGAAAAGAAAAGTACATTCCAAGACAAATAAAAAATGTTATCTCATAAGATGTATGTGTATGTGTATTCTACTTAATATTCCGTATACTTACAAAAGCACATAAAGCACCTTTATAAGAAGGGAAGTTTCTTAGCAGCTTTAGTGGCAACAAACCTTATACAGGACAGATAAGGTTTAAATCTGTCAATTTTACTTTATTTTTCCCAATTGAAAGGATAAGATTTAAAAGATGAGGCAAAATGAATTTTAAAGTTGTCATTCTCTAATGAAAACTGTGTGTGGAAAGGAATTAGCAATGGAAGGAAGGAAAAGTAAAATAAAGAAAGAAAAGAAGGAAATAACTTTTCCTGGCTTTGCAGAATACATTATAGTGGTAGTAGGGCAAAAATATAGGAACCTCAGGAAAGTATATTGGATTATATTTTTCTTTTTTCTTAAACGGCCAGTCTATGCTTTAA